GTGCCCATTCCTAATCGCTTCTATAAATGCGGTCTTGACATGTGCGGTACGATATACTGAGGTTTTGTACACTTTTAGAGTTTCTTCTGAGCACACGTTAACCGTGTCTGTATGTTTTGGTATTAATGAATGAATTTCCGTAATTGTCTCTGCAAAAAGTTGATCTTTATGAAAATGCTTGATTACAAAAGGTTCTGTCTTGAATTCGTTTATTTAACTTTATATTATTTGTTGTAAATTGCATCCTGTCGATGTAATGTATGTTCTAGGGCCCCTTAATATGAATGTCAAGGTTATATAACTCAGCTTGGTCTATATAGACATGTTTGATATAACCTCGAGAAATAGTTGATCATGACAGGTACTTGTTTTCAGCTAATACAAATAGACTTCTCGGACAATGGAAGAATTGGTATTTATGAAGTTTTGAACAAAAAAAAATAAAGGAATTTAGATCAAATGATATCTTAAGTGGAAAGAGAGAGAGAGAGAGAGAGAGAGAGAGAGAGAGAGAGAGAGAGAGAGAGAGAGAGAGAGAGAGAGAGAGAGAGAGAGAGAGAGAGAGAGAGAGAGAGAGAGAGAGAGAGAGAGGAGAGAGATGGAGAGGGAATCTAAATACACTCTCAAAAGTAAAAGTTGTGTTGTTTTCTTAACACAATTTTGCTGGTGAAATATCAGAAGTTTCATTTTGATAATAACGTAATATGATATTTAGTCCTGATTTAAACAATTGTAGACGATCTTTTATAATCGGCAATGAAATATTGAATTTATCAAACTCGTTATGTAATTTGGTAAGTCACGAACCTTCATGTGATTTAGATATAAAATTATCTAACGATTTTTACAGATTTTATATAACATCGATATGGGTGTGGGATTCAGTTTATCATTTAACATGTATTCAAATGTTATCTTTAACAAGGTCCAAAATTCGCTGAGAAGGGGTTTGAACATAACGGTTATATTCCATATATTAGTCTTGAAGTATCGGTAGCACTGTGTACCTGAAGATAGACAAACGGTGCCCTTATATGGAACACCGTGTGTTCATTTATTGGTGCTATATATATATATATAGTTGCAATAAGATCCGTTCAGGACATTCAGAGTGAAACTAAGTTTTCTGGTTCAAGACCATAGGTCTAAATAACCACAATTTATTGCAGTGAGGCTTCATGCCTTCCGCTCGATCTTTGGTAGTGGAATAGACAATGATTAAACTTTTCTACCATCCATGCTTTTAAGTGAAACGTTTTGTGCTGTTACCATACCTAGGTGTCTACCAAGCATAGGTTTACATCTTTAATTATGCCTTATGTTGTCAAGAGAGAGTCTGGCATGTTGTCAGAACTTGCGCCCAATCCCTTTGATGTTTTGTTTTTTAATCAATACAATATGTTTGATCAAACATAACATATGGCGCAATTCAAATGTCTTATTTCAGCTATATACATTATAGAAATCTTTTCAGTCGAGTAAAGTTCAGAAATGGATTTTCACTGAACCTGGATTAGAAAGGAGTACAGGCTCCGAGGAGTTTCAATCAAGCGCTAACGACGTCATGAAGTAGCTTCTTACACGTTCACCACAGCAGCTGCAATAACTGTCGAATTTTTTCCTATTTTAATCCTGTCGATTTTTCAGATCCGCGCGACTTCTTCGCACTTAAACCCATTAAACTTGGTATTATGTCATCACCACTCGCATGCTTTCCGTCTTTAGGAAGTTTTTTTATATTCACTATTTCGCCAGTTACTGCCCCTTTGCGTGTGTAAAATGGCTGTGCAGTCTGTCAGGAGGGGTGTGGCGCGAACCATTACAGTGGCTGTCAAAATGTCGTCTGCTTCTTCTTCTCCCTTGTGTTCATGGTGATCTCCAATAACACTTCAAGGGCAAAGATCTGTATTTTATTTTCTTTCCATTGACCATGATACGGGTCGGTCACAAACACGGCTAAAACTCGGCACCTACGGAATTCCGGAATTTAATTAAAACCCGGATGTCTCGTTAAAGTTTCCTCGAACACGTGATGACGGGATTTGCTCGTGTGAGAATTTTCATCTCGGAGAGGAACCACCATATGGTGCTGCGATGCGCATGTCACTGACGTAGTCAGCCCTTATTGCAAACCCATGGGTCCAATATTTTAACGGCAGGAGGTTTCTTTTCGAGGTATAAATCAAACGTTAAACGATGACGCATTCCAAAGTCATCCGTGGTCATCGATCCCCAAATTGCCCTAAGTCATTAAGAAGCTTTAAATAAATAATGTAGTCGATAGCGACCTTTGACATATGTGTTCGATGTATACAGCGGAAATTCAAAAAACAACATCCATTCTACTTGGAGGAACCAAGATAATTTAATTTCATTATACTGAGCGCATTCCATTAAAATCTCCATGTGGCAAAAATGTTTGCTGTCTCCTTGGTAACTGTTTGCTCTTTCACCTTATCAGACGCGCGCTATTTGTTATCCTGAGAGTGGATGGTCGCTTGCTGTCATGGCCGTCGAGTTGTATCGAGCACGGCGCGGCGCTAATTGAGTGTTCGATGTCCTAATTGTATAATTCGAGCGGCGCTTCATGGATCATATGTAATGAACTATGTTAGCGCTTTGTTTGCCGTCAGTTTTATCTAAATGGAATCCATATCTGCGACTGTGCTGCCGTCGGAGAGCTGGCCACATGTACCTGATGTCTGAAGGGGATAACAGATATGGAACATTGATCACAATTAGAATTTATCATACGTCTAACAGACTTGTTGACTCTTTATAGATGAGACTCAGTGCGAACCGTAATTTAATTAGAATTTCCAGGACAATACTTAAACACTAATCATGTATTTGATACATGTATTTTCCGGTACATCTCAAAATTATTCATTTTTACAATATACAAATCAAATAACATTAGCGAAATGACTGGCGAGGTAAATATTACCACATGTTTTACTATAGAAATTATAAATGTCAAAATACCTGATTGCTCTCTAATACAGCTTAACTCGATTAAACATAAACCGCTTTGTTCCACTTTCTACACATGACGATAATATATTGTCAACTTTTCATTTTGTCCTCAGCGATGCTGAATACCAAAGAAATCAATAGAACATTGGTTGATACTGAATTTCTGTTTCCATTTGCTAAACAAACCTCCCTGTTGATGGATGAAAGAGCCAGTTACAGAAATTATCAAATCTGGATTTGTGGTTTTTTACACGAGTAGTAATATTTAAGATTTATCCTATAGCGTGGCAATATTTGATACCATAATTCGTGAAGCAGGTCGAGGAGATAAATAATATATGTCAGGAAAGCATTCAATATCAAAAATCATTGAATCGAATTTAACCTTTAGTACTTTCATCATCTAGTTTGTGACATGAATTACGATTTCCGTATTAACCTTTCAACAATATAAGTCCCTAGCATCACTGATGAGTCCTACACGAACTAAATAGTTGTATCATTCAGTTTGAATTTATGTAAAGCTCATGTGAATTTCTTTCGTACAGCCCTCCTGTCTACATAACAGTCTATACGTCTACAAGATTTTTCCTCCGGCTCCTACACTTCATTCTGCGTTGGATCTTCCTATTGCGAATTTTCTGTCTAGATATGAGCAATCCTGCTTGCCTAATATATGACGTTAACATATCGAATTTAATTTGATATTCAGGAGTATTTGAAAGACTTCCGCGCTAGATATCAAGAGGTGAAAGACACACTCCAAATTCGAGGTTTCCAGAGATGCAAGGTGACAAAGACTATAGGGGAAGTATAATGGTGATCACAATGACGTCACTGGGAAATATTTCTTTGTGCGATATGACGCAGGATTTGTTCGGTTCCCGTTATGGCTTGTGGTTTAGTTGTTTATTACATTGTTCTTTATTTGGGAACGTGACATTACTTACTTGGATCGAAAAGAGATTATCATGGACAGTGTCCACAGTGAAGCAGAAGACGCTTACTCTTTCGGAATATCTGGCTTGTTCTTATATGCATTAAATCAATTTCCATACAAGTTTTCCTTTGTTCATGTTTTGCCATAGAGTCCTCGTGTTTTGAGTTTGAAAAAATAACTTGATCATACGTCGGTATTTTCTTCGCTTTTGACATGGCTGTTTGTGTTTCTTAAGACACTGCAAAATGATTGGTCTGTGCTGTCGAGGTTGTGTCCATAGACAAAACGCTATACTCCTATTGTTGTGACGGTCCTCCCGTATGTTGTTCAGTGGCTATCTTGTGAAGTAGCTACCAGCTACTACAAGGAGATGCTGTCTCAAAATGACACCTGCTGTTCACTGGGCGATATCCCAACAAACAAATTAACTGTATCATTAGCAATTTCTTAATTTCTCACAGACATCTTCATGTGTTTTTGATTTGTTATTTATGATGCATGTCATGAACTTGTACAAACCTTTTGTGGTTACGTTTCGATATCATATATATGTCTGTTTTTTACGGTTTCAATGCTATTCCTGTCTAATCTAAACATTAAACAATTTTCTCGGCTCTGTGATTGGGATATCTCAACACAAGACGCAATATTATAGTACTTGGCTATAGTAAGTCGTCCAGATTTCATTTGTCCAATGGCGGGCGCTAATTTGCTTACTTAATGTTTAAAACTTGCACTAGGTAGCTGCTTTCCTTGACAAAGACGTGGCTTCAATTTGTACTTAAAGACAGTATATGTTGTGATTCCTTGTCCTAAGTTTAAATTTTTCTGGTATTGGGAATGTAACAGAGGTCATTATTTGTTCCAATTATGTCTCCGCTAGGATTCGCACCTGGGACCTCTCCTTACTAGTCTGACACTCAACCGATCGAGCTACAGAGAGGTTCTCTGTAGCCGAGCGGTATAATGCGACTAGAATGTACCAAGGTTACACAAATCACGTGATTGTAAGGTTTTATGGTAAAACTTCAAAACGAGTTCAACAATTTGCAATGCTTGGTTACAAAAATAAAACATATACAAATTAAATTGAAGACATATTTTAATGAAAAATGTGAGAATAGGAAACAAAAGTAGCACATGACATTGTCCTTCACGTGTACGTAATTTTGAAAAGCAACTCGAGTAAGAAAGCAGTATTAGAGATTTGAAATATAGAACAATTCGTCATTGATGCCCAACAAAAAAGATAAACTTTACAATTCAGTTCCATCATAAGTCAAATCTAAAAAACTACTGAAAAATCATTAATTTTCGTGCGTTTTTTAAATAATAAATTATCCATACAATACAGTCGAACCTCGTTATCTCGAACTAAATAACTGTATGTTATATCGAACGTATAACATGAAGAACCGTTTAATTCGAAGTATTTCTTCTGTCCCGGCTAAACTTTTCACCAGACTTTTGATCTCACTTAAATCGAATACTTGGATAACTCGAAGCTTCCGGCCATGACGACTTCGAGATAACGAAGTTCGACTATATTTGAGTCCCAGGGAAATATATGATTATGCAGTATTTTAACGCTAGTAGTTCATTAAAATACTATTCCGATCTAATTTTATAGAAAATGCACACCTTGATTCAAATGTTTGTGTTAGTGGGTTGGTTTTTCGGGACAAAAAATAACAATCTTAATGGGCCTTTGAAACTTCAAGTTCGGCCGAGAAATGTGACCACAGCAGATGACAACATAACGGTTATGCACACCAGTAAAAACGGACATCGGAAAGCAACCCAACCTGACAATGCTACTGTATATATGTGGAACACATCTCGATAGCTACTGGAAAACATACAAGACAAACCACGTAAATACGTAAATATATAAAATTGACAAGAGGTACAAATAACAATTCAAATGTAATAGATTCTTTATAGCAAATTACGACAAACAAATGATAACAACTTATTCCTCTAAACGGGTACAGTCTTTTTAAAGAACAGACATTACAAAAATGCAACAATATTTAAAATTGAAGTAAATTTATAAATACAAATACTTGTACACATACAATAAAAACAAAGAAACCGCTGGTCCCTGTAGACTTTTTTTTTCAAAACTGTATACATTCTGTAATATTTGACGAAAACACGGGTTCCTGTTGACAATTCAACCCAAACTAATGTAATAGGTTCTTTGATAGATGCGAGTATTTAGTAAATTAACATAATATCGGTTTCTACTACGCTTCGATCACATTCAAAATTCACTTATGATTCATTTTTTGAAAAAAAAAGAGAGATCAACGATTATTCAAAATTAACGTGTCTTGCGCACAGTTGATGAACTCACTGCTATTGGTTGTGCAGGACTTGAATATAAATAATTACTGTAAAAAATTGCCTAAATAATGAAAGAAAGTCACAATATGATAAACAGAGGGTGCAGAAATGACAAGTTATTTTCTAAGAAATCACAGAAAAGAGTATAGATTTAGGAATGGTACAAATTGCGACATTTCTAATAAAAAAAGATAATTAAAATCACGATTGTAAATATGAAAAGTGATTAAGACGATAAATGGATGTGCGATGACGACGATCAAAGGATAGTAGAGACGAAATTGTTATTTATATAACAATTTATAGTGAGTATAAGTGTCCAGCACCTTTTACCCAATCAAACGCAGGCGATATGCGCTTGCGCAGTGGTGTCTCTACCATATGATGTACCAGCACCTGGTTTCAGCACCAAACAGCCTCAATCCGTAAATGTCGAACTAGAGAAGACATGTAGATGTCTCAATTGTCGTAGATGGAATTCTATTGGATCAATAAACATAACTTAACGGATTTCGAACACATTTGTGTGTATGTATGGATTGTGATCATGGTTTCAAAACATTAAATACGTTATTCAACTTCATACGTCTCTGTTACGACAACAGCAACATGCGAGACACCTCTTAAACAGGGCTTTCGTGTCCTTTCGGAAGTTTACATTGAGGAAACTGTAAATGACCGGGTTGATGGCGTTATTGATGAAATAGGACTTTGAGCCGAATTTATACGCTACTTCTCCGGCTGGATCCAGGCCAGTTTCAAAGTCTCTTTTAATACTTCGCACGACCATGAATATCAGAAATGGAAGAAAGCTGATTACGTATGCCACCGTGACAGCAAATAAAACCACTGTGGTTCTCGTCACGCGAATCTGATGTTTTTGGCCACGCTTTTTGAATACGTTCCGTGACGCGGTGGAATTCCTGCGCGTGTCGTCCCAGTTTGCTTCCTGGTCTGACGACATTTCTGTGCTAATGGGATCCGAGGACACACGATCTGATGCCGTACTGTCATTGAATGTCCGGTCTTTGCTTGGAGGAATTTCCGGTGCTTTTTCACCTATCTTTATTTTCTTCCTCGACCATATAACAGAACCTATTTTAGAGTATATTACGGTGAAGAAGATAACACACCCCACGAAGAGAAGGAAGAGCACACCGTAGTATAGTGTTGGGTACAAAGTGTGTCGCATGGAATCATCTGTAGAACAGTCCACACCCACGATACCTTCAACGCCAACGTCGACCGTCTTCTCGCCGAAAATGATGCAGGCGGGCCATGACGTCGCCACTCCTACGATAATGGCTATAACACAGATGCCTTTGGCCGTTTTCACCGAGATCTGTTTCCCCAGTCTACATATTCTGTAGTATCTGTCGAATGCCACAGCTATGAGGGTGATGGACGACCCAATAGTCGATACAGATTCGCTGAAGCGCAAAAGTTTACATGCCGCCGGGGCGTAGAACATATACGGGTATCTGAGATCTGCCACTTCTGTTGGCATGCCAACTAAACAGGTCAAAAGGTCAAGGACAGCAAGATTGAGAATGAAAAAATGCGAAGAAGTTTTTGTCTTCTTGTTCCAATATACGAAAAACACAACAATGTTGCCTACGGTTCCGACTAGAAGTAGCACCATCATATATATAATCACCGGCAGATATTGTAAAGCCTTCTGGTCATTCAACTTCCGGAGAATCACTTCCGTTTCCTCCGCACTAAGAGGCATGGATGAATTATTGGAGGGAAACATGGTTGTATTGTTCGTGTAAGACGCCGGAGTGAAAGCCATAGTGATTTAATATTTCCCAAAGAAACGGATCCAAAAGTTTGTCTCAAATCCGGATATGATCAGTTATCCGCTCCTACATTCACCATCTACAAAATAGGAAAAATTAACGTTAAGATCTAAACAAATTAATTCAAAGCATCATTTCATTCCAAATTGTCAAGAGTAAAAAGAGCCCACACGTAAATGTTATATCTGCACATTTCGTGAAGGACCTTCTTGCCGTCCACAAAGTGGATTATCGAAATTCATAACCGAAATTTCTCGATGATGGTTCTCAACGTTCTTAACTCAAAACATTATCAGAAGAGCTCAATATAGGGGGAGTTTTTAATATGACAGTGTGTTACCCACAAACAAAGCTGTTTATGCGCGGATTTCAAACATATTCCTCATCAATGATTGGCCAATAAACATACAAATCTCTTTGTCTGTGGCGTTTCACGTCGGAAAACATCAAAATAAATCATAAATAAATTTTGGCTGACAATGTCCCTTGCATTTTCTGTATTTTTTATTTATAATCGCTCACAAAGTACCGCGCTGTTGTCCATTGAGACCTCGCCGTTAAATCAATATGTGCATTACTGAACAAGCAAATGATATCACGGCGTAAAGTGAAACGCCAGCTAGACAGATGGTCAAGTGTCCGAAGCGTTTTAGAGAGTGGACATCCCGACAATGACTTCGGTCCGGGAGTTCTGCTATTTAAACCCGCCTCCCGACACTACCGGGATGACACGTCGTTTATCAAACAGATAGATTGTACTGTTTTTATATACGACCTTTTATATAGAAGAGTATTCTGAACTCAGTGTCTGGTTCTGTTTTAAACCAAACATGAGCAACGTTTTGACACTCGTAAGTGTACTAAGGACACGTCAAATTATCATCGACAGATTGTTTATAAGGCAATTTTCGCGTGAATGACAAACGAGGTTCCGGTCGAGTTTGACTCACAATACATGTTTTGTTATACAATTTCCCGGTGGTTTTCGCTAAATGAATAAATTGTTGTAATGGCTAAGCTGAACATTCTTGTAAATTATACTAATGCAGCGTATTTTAGCATGTACTATATATTGTAAATATATAACAGTGTTAAGAGTTGTAAGTGCTTACTGATGGAAATATATTCTATTTCAAAACTAAACAATAAAACAATATGTTAGTAAAACCTTTCGGACTTATTCACAACTAAACATGTACCGAAATTTCAAATTCATTTTACCGGAAATCAAACCAAATTGTGACAAAAGTTTTGTGGTTTCAGAATCTTATCATCCCACTTCGACTAGAGCCTACAAAACAAATATGTCAACATAATCATAATCCCAACTCAAACTCATTAAAACTAGAGTAAAATATGAACAAAATAAATCTTTAAATGGAGACCCATGGAAATGTGTAAAGAGAATAAGACCAATTGTTCCGGAAGAGTAAGCGTCTTCTGCTTCATCGATGACCCGCCATGTAAACCTTGGTCAATCCAAGTCGGTAATGTCACGTTCTCAAAAAAACAAGGTATCCAACAACTGAACCAACAGGCAGACTAACGAACATCAAACACGTCCAACTTCATATCACACGAAGAAATAGAATATTTCTCGATGAGTTAACTTTCACGACCGTATAACTTCCCCATACTTTTCATCAACCTGCATATTTTGATATCCTTTGTTACGAGTTTACCCGTCAGTTGATTACTTCTTATGCGAAAATCGTGATAATGGGAACAGGCCCTTGAATAGTGAATCAACCTCGACATATAATAACAATAGGTTGAGGATGCAGGTATGTAGTTATCAAGAAATGGAAAATTCACAGGACGGAAATTGAAATCATCAACCTTATCATACAACTTGGTGGACAGATGTCCATGTTGGTTTCGTTGAAGGAACAGATCGTGACGTAACTGCCGAGCCATAGTTAAGACACAAGTAATAATATAAAACCACAAAACATCTTTGAAATGAAACAATACCATGCTTAATTACTTTTCTCACATACTTTACACGTGCATTTCATCTTCAATTATGAACGGTCGATCTCCCGCCTCGCCTAGTGTATCCCGAGCAGCGCAGTTAAATACAGACTGCTACGGTAATTATATACGACCCCGTCATTGTATAGTGCTGTAGAGTGAAAGATTTAAGGCGACCTAATATCTGATGATATATACCGCAACGATGAAACGGACACCTGAATAGATGATTTGGTCAGTAAAGAATGGCCAGGACTCCATAATCACCATATGATGTATGAAAATCCTTTGTAAAATACCAGTCATTCAACTCCGGGACCTTGAGAAATAAAGAACGCCATACTCGTGGTCAATGATAAGTGGTCGTTTTGGACATGGTCAAGCGATTTCACTGAGGAAGAAAAACAGCAGGTGCTTTAATGGACAGCATCAGTGGTCAAGACTTATTTGTTGTATCGGTCAGTACTGCCCGGAGCGCCACCTTCTGATCGTGCACCACAGGACATCCAGTCTATAAATTATCTTAGTGTTCAAGATGGCCTCGTGTCGTATGTATCATCACAACTACGGATTGGGATGTCTAATGTAGCGGACACAATTAGATACTTAAACCCCTAAAACACGAAGACAGTGTACAATACGTATACTCGTTACAAACACACTCCCATTTAAACTAAACAGCAAAGTACAATGACATATTTCACATTCTACTGAAGTTGAAATCATAGCGCAGGTTTCTGCTATCAATATGCCTTATACTCGCGGATATGTCACACATGACCTCTGTGAACGTCAGTTTATCGAATGTTACGAGTTCATAATTAAATAATTAACATATCACAACGGCTCAGCGATAAAACATCCGGACTTCGTATCAAATTTTCTTTGGTCAGTTTGTTTTGCTCGGAATTAATCAAATCATATTGTAAACCTTCGACATTGAAAAAGGCTTTGTCACATCGCGCAATCTTTGTTCGCAAGTTCTTGCCTGCAAAAATAGCATTTTTATTGAAGATTAGGACACAAATGTGTATATTCAACAGAAAATAATTTTAAAAACAATCAAACAGCTATTCATTTGTCAATAATAAAACTTTAAACACACACAATACATAAAACTGGATCAATATTGCAATTTGTGAAGTGAAAATGGTGTATGGAAATGTTGGAAAAAAATATTATCAAACTACTTAAGGAATTTAATGGGTATCTTTTAAATCTTGCCTTGGTATGAAATTCTCGGCGTAAATTCAATACAGCGATAGAATAGCAAACACTTGTGACATATAACTTAACAATATTTCTGAAACTGTAACTGTATACCCACAAAAACGTCAGAAATTTGCTACTTTCACACACAATCCAACATGTATCCACGAAAAATGAACCGTTCTTGTGACCAACTCCGATCACTCAGAAATAAAACACCAAGGGTTTCAATTATCTTAATGCACAGTTTGATACACAGTGGTTTGCGCTATCCTAACTAAATAAAAAGACCTGATTTCTCGAGACGATCGTAGTTCCCATTCATAACGTGTTTTGACATTTTAAATATTTTCTTTGAGAGTTCGGTTTGTCGTCGTTACACTTTGCCTGAACTTCAAGCTTACTTATACATGTATAGGTATATATATCTTGTTTGTTTTAATACTTAAATATTGTCGATATCCGTTTGCTAATGTGAGGACCGATTTCTTGTGAACAGTGTAATATGAATGATTTTAAACGGACAAGCCGAAGCGAGTTATCGATCTGATTTTAAACGGAGATAATTTCTTTCGAGAGTAAGCAATGGTTTCTTATTACGATATTTAACGTCTTCGCAACAGCCAGGACCACATATGTAAGGGTGTCGAGAGAAACACAAGCGGTAGAAAACAAAGAACAGAAACGGGGGCAGACAGTAAAGAAAGGAAGGGGGCAGCAGAGATCAATTTCCCTTTGGACCCCAAGAGGTATGAGGGAGTAACGATACATCATGCCAAAAGTTCCTTTGTTAACTCAAAACCAGAGTCCAAACTAATTATAAGATGTGTAATACGGGCAACCATAGACAACTTGTCAATGCCAATGCTTTATTCGCAAACTTATCCAAATGAAACCGGTTAAACACTATTGAAAATCCGAGAACTTAACCATCATGATTTTAGTAGACTAAACAGAAAGAGTATTTCGTATATAGAGACTTGGTCTTAAAAGTCTGTACCATTTAAGCTAATGAGAGGCTTTACCCGGGTACGACGGTTTTTTCCCGCTTAAACACTCCTCGCGCGCTTCCATACAGGCTAACAAGAGAGATTAGTATAAGCTTAACGCTTGTTTCGCAATTGTTGTAAAATTACAAAGTTTACATTGATATTTAGTAGGTACCACTTTCAAACCGTCAATCAATTAATTCTGTTGTAAAAATAGACCAATCAGATATGCCATCAAAACAAATATGTTTGATATAATTTCAGAAACATAGTTTCATATCTGTAAAATAAAATGACCAACCAGAAATGTTATAGATACAAACCAATCAAATATGTTATAAGAATTAACCAATCAGATGTGTTACAGATATGAAACATGTCGATATATCATGGAAATATACAATTCAGATCTATTGCGCAAATTGACCAATCAGATCTTTATAAGAAATAAACTGATCAGATCTCTCAGAATAATTAACCAATCAGGTGTGATATAGAAATGAAACAGCGCGAACTGTTTTTAAACTTTCATAATCTATAATTTCGGAAGTCTGTATACAGACTGTGTATAATTAATCTTTGTCGCAAAATACATCCGTGTTGGGGTTATTTTCATATTTTGATACGGTAAAGGGGTGTTTAAAAAGGTGTCCCAAGACTTGAAATTCCATTTGCTGATGTATGTATTCGGGTCTATATAAGCTCAAAGTTTGTTTTTCTATCCCAAATTGCAAAGATATGTCTGTCTATCTTGTTCATATATTTAATAAAAAATTGTGTTTAAACTGAAATGGAATTGCGTGGAACTTTTGTACTTTTATCGGCTTATCTGTTAGTGGTATATATTACAACACCTTCCAAATAAAGAACAATGTTATCGAATATTTTTTAACGTTTCACAGAGATA